AACTCCGGTCCCAGCTCCTTCATCGCTAACTCTGTCATCGCCTGGTCTTCCCGAGCCTCAGTTTCCTCCTCTGTACAGTACAGCCGTCCCCTCTTATCACGGGGCGTATGTTCCAAGATCCCCAGTGGGCTCCTGAATCTGTGGGTAGTACCGATCCCTGTACATACTATGATGTTCCCTCTACGTACACACATACCTATGACACAGTTTAATTCATAAATTAGGTACAAGAAGGGACAAATGAAAGTAATAAGTGAGAACAGTTATGACAATGTCCTGTAAAAGTTACGTACGTATGGTCTCTCTCAGCCTCTTGTTGTACTTGACTCGCCCTCCTCTGTGTGATGATGCGACATGTGAGACAGCACGGTGCCCACGTGAGGGGAGGGAGTGCCGTGGACGGCGTGGGCATTGTGACGCAGCGTTAGGCTGCCAGGAGGGTGACTTGGGCACAGCACTGCCACACGGTGCCACTCGACCTGACACCCGAGCCAGCACTGAAGTGACTGTCAAGAGGGAGTGGTATACAGCGTGTACAGGGGTGTACAACGTCTACAGTGGTATACAGCGTAGACAGTGTATACAGCATGTACAGTAGCATACAGAGTGTACAGTGGTATACAGCATAGACAGTGGTATACAGAGTGTACAGTAGTATACAGAGTGTACTGTGGTATACAGAGTGTACAGTGGTATATAGCATAGACAGTGGTATACAGCATAGACAGTGTATACAGAGTGTACAGTAGTATACAGAGAGTACTGTGGTATACAGAGTGTACAGTGGTATATAGCATAGACAGTGGTATACAGCATAGACAGTGTATACAGTGTACAGTAGTATACAGAGAGTACAGTGGTATACAGCATAGACAGTGTATACAGAGTGTATAGTGGTATACAGAGTGTACAGTGGTATACAGAGTGTACAGTGGTATACAGCGTAGACAGCGGTACACAGACTCTGGATAAAGGGATAATTCAGGTCCCAGGTAAGACAGAGCAGGTGGGCATGAGGTTTTAGCATGCCACACAGAGTGATGTACAATTATAAATTGTTCATTTCTGGCATTTTCCACTTAATATTTTTGGACCGGGGTGGGAGGGGGTAACTGAAACCTCGCAAAATGAAACTGTGGATAAGGTGGGACTTCTTAGGCATCATGATCCTTGTCTACGGCCCACCAGTCTCTAAAATCAGGGTCCCCCCTCCCACCCCTGATTCCTGGAGAAGAAACCAGCGTCTGTTGGGGTTCGGTGAACTGCTCAAGGACACAGCCTAAGAAATAGCGAAGACAGGAGTAAACCCGAGCCAGCTCCCAGGGACGGGGCCACCACCCGCATGGAGCGGTGGAGCTGGCTGTGTTCCTGAAGGAGATGGTGCAGGTGAGGGGCCCATCCCCCAGCCGGCCCTGCAGGGAAGCCCTCTACGCCGCCGAGCTGGGCCCTCGGTACTATCACCGAGAATGCCTGGGCGTGGAGTCGGAGCCCTGGGTTGTCCATCATCTTGTCCTTGACCTTCAATGCCTGACTTCAGGGTGGGGTCCTCAACCCTCTCCTCCCATGTTTGCCTTCTGCCCCGTCCCTTGTCTGTCCCCTCTCCCCATGCAGTGAACAGTGAACTGCTATTTATTCAATTGGTCAGGGGTCACCAAAATCACTGGACTCGGCTTACCAGGGGGCGAGGCCACTGTGCCTTTAAGGATTGCACCCCCTGGAGCCCTGCCACCCCCTGCTGCAGACCCACCCCCAAGCACAAGCTGGGGCAAGGTCAGGCCAAGAGCTTCTGGAAGGGCAGCTGTGTCCCCCTGCCCTCCGCAGCCAGCCTGACAGGAAGGCCGTTCACCGAGACTGCGGGAGGGCAGGGGCCACTCCACTGAGCTCCGCAAGCTAGTTACAGGGTCATTTGTCATGTCCCCTGCGGACTCCCAACGGCTGCCTCTTAGAAGCGACGTCTGACTATCACCAAGCACAGTGCCCACCTAGATCCTTGCAGACCTACAAGGAGTGGGAGCTGTGATCGTTCTTAACAAAGGGTGACAAGGTCCCTGTCGCACCACGTCACAGGGCTGCGGCTTAGTATCTGTCACCGTTTGCTCGGAAGGTAGCTGCCCACACAGACGGGTAAATAAGCAGCCGGGGCTGGGGTGGGAACACAGCCAGGCTGCCCATCCGCTCCCACAGGCAACCTCGGGAGCCGGGCCAGGCCCTCCTCATGCTCTTCCGTGGCCGTACCCCCCGCCGGCTGCCATGCTTCCGGCGCCTGCTCTCACCACTGACAAGCTCTGGAATCGGAAAGAACGCAGAACCTCCGTTGTTCAGCCCTGAACTGTGCGGACATCCAGGGGCCTTGGGACAGGGTTGGGTCTCTGCTGGCCAGGGGAGGGCTCTGGGCAGGATGGTGCAGACACAGGAGGTTGGCCTATGGCAGGCAGGCCACAGTGGGGGCATCGGAGGATGGGCACAGCCGCATTCACAACCCGTCTCCTCCAGGGGACCCTGGGCTTCACGAAGTCTCCCATTCTCGGCTTTCTCCGCAGTACGCGGGGTGGTGAGGTCCGCAAATACTTAATGAATGGATGTTAATTAAGTTCTAAATCAGATCTGCCTTTGAGTGTCTTTGGACAGATCTTTTTCCCTCTTTTTCGTTACCTGTAGAATTACCTTAAGTCTTTCTTCTGGTACTGAGAGTCTAGGGGTGTTTTAAGACCCAGGTGTGCTGTTAGAAATGGCCCCGAGGCCTGGAAGCAAGGGGAAGCTTAGGGGGCCACTGGACCTCAGACTTGGCCATCAGGGAGCAGCATTTCTGTGCCCCGAGATCAGGGTGGCCCCGTTCACTGTGGGCTGTCTGCACGCCAGGCACTGAGCTGTGTGCTCCGCAGACGTGTGGCTCCTCCCAGCACGCTGGGGACTAGGACCAGCCTTACGCCCGCTGTACAGGGACAGAGGAGGGCTCAGAGAGACGCGAACTGACTGAGGTCATGCAGGGAGGGGACGGCGAGCCCGGGGCATGAGCCATTTGATACCCTGGGTGGTGAAGGGCTAGGGATACCGCTGCCATGACACCAGGATCCCCTAGGAAATTTCTGGAGTCAGCTTGCAGGGAGGAGGACCCGGGTGGGCCAGTACCTTCTGCAGCAGGTTATGTTGGGTTGATGGACCTGAGCGGCGAGAGACGGGTGTCATCTTCTGGGACGTTCAGTTACCTCTCAGCGAGCATCCTTGGGCTTCCTCTTCCCCGCTGCCCGGCGGGGACAGCTTTGCTGTTACCAGTTGGGCGGAAGCCTTCCGGATGCATCCCCCCCCCGTCAGAGAAGAATAATCTGCCAGGTCTCTTCCTTTCCAAAAACCAACGCCCAGTAAATCCCCAACAGGGAACTCCCAGATAACTGCACCTTTAGTTTTCTTCCTAGCACTTCTCACTCTCTGACCATTTATTCCCGTGCTCCGCTGTCTCCCCAGCTGGGGTGTTCCCTCTAGAAAAGCAGGGAGGGTTCAGCCTGCTCACTGTGGAACCCCAGCTTGGGGAACAGTACCCGGCACGTGGCAGGTGCTCGGCAAACATTGCCTGAGCGAGTCAGCCTGCCGGCACCGGGGCTCCTGGGAACTCGGCGGTATCAGCCTAAAAATAGCCAGAGATCTCCAGCACCAGGGGGACGGTGGGAACCTTGCCTGGCTCCCCTGATTGCTTTCACCTGGGGTTCAGGCTGGTAGCCTGGGACATCTATATCTGCTTACCGCATGACTAATAACAAGTATTAATTAATTAAATCGCCACCTGTTTCTGCAGGGTGTGCGTGATGGGCGGCCTTGGGACGCCTACCAAATTCACAGGTAGAAGCCCTAGCGCCCTGTGTACTTCAGAATGTGCCTGCATTTGGAGACAGGCCTTTAGAGAGGTGGCGGCATTGACGTGAGGCCATGAGGGGGCCCCTCGTCCAGTCTGACTTGTGTCCTTATAGGAAAGGACAACGTGGACACACAGAGACGCTGGGGACGCGTGAGCACGGAGGAAAGGTCGCCGAGGGCACAGCAAGACGGCGGCCCTCTGCACGCCAAGGAGAGGGTCAGGAGCCAGACCTGCTGACCCCTTGACCTGCGACATCCAGTCTCCAGGACTGGGAGGACATGGCCTCCTGTCGTTTAACCGCTCAGTCCGGGGTATTTGGTGCCTATGCAAGTGCAGGGTGTTTTTGTTTTGTTTTTTAAGATTTTTATTTGATTTTGAGAGAGAGAGGGAGAGGGAGGGAGAGAGAAACATTGATGTGAAAGCAAAACATCCACCAGCTGCCTCCTGCTCGCCCCCAACCCAGGCCTATGCCCTGAACCAGAATCGAACCAGCACCCCTTCGGTGCACAGGGCAACGCCATCCAACTGAGCCCCACTGGCCAGGGCTGAGTGTGGCTTATGTACACGTGCGTATTGGTGCATGTGTGGTAGGGTGTGTATGTTAAGAGGTGTATGAGGACTGGGAGCAGATGTTCAGACATTCTTAAATGTTGATATGGGCAGACATTCATGGGGACGCATCTACGTTGGTGTGTTACATGCATTCGGTGCGTGTAGGCTCATTCATTTGTTCATTGGTTCCTTCATTCATCAGAATTTCTTGGATGCTTGCCCACACATATACACATAATGTAAAAAGTAAATAGACAAGAGAAATATGACAGAGGTAAGTATGGAAATTAAGGGAGAATGGAGAAGTTAGTTCAGTTGACTAATCAGGGGAGACTTCCTGGAGGAGGTGACACATGTGCTGAACCTGGCTAAATGAAGCGAAGGAGCAAGACCATTGCATGTAGACATATATGGACAGAAATAGCAGCATATCACCAAAAACTACAGAGTCTGGGTTGGTTCCATTCCTCAGAACCTTCTACCCCCAGCTGCAGCCCGTCAACCCTCCAGAGTCCCAGGGAACAGGATCACAGAGCAGGGAGAAGGCACGGATACCAAGGAGCCAACACTTTATTTTGTGCAGACCAAGCACGCTGGGAGGCCCACGCCCCACGGGACAGGCTTCTGCCGGGCCCCTCTCTCCTCTTGAGGGTGGCCACACTGGCTGTATGAGGACCAAGGTCCCCTGCGGAGGCCAGGCCGGTCTCTCTCCACCGAGTCGGAAGTCTTCGAGGACCGTGCATCTCAGGAGGCTGGAAACAAACGGAGAGCAGAGCTGATAAACGGGGCGCAGGCAGCGTGTCTTGGTGAGGAGTGCGGAAGTGTGGGGAGGCCCTGGAGGCTCGTGTTCCCGAGTGGCACTCCTGCAGAGATCAACAGAAATGAAGACCTGTGGGTGGCAGAGGGGAAGCAAGTGGCCGGAGACAGGGACAGGGTTCCTGAAGGACCCAGATGTCCCCGGGCAGGGTAACCTGACATTTAGTGCAGCCACTGGGGGCCGGGCTCTGTCATCCGACTCACGATGCTACCTGATGTAGCTAATGTCATCATCTCCGTTTTCCAGCTGAGAACGCAGCTGCTCGGTCAAGCCACAGCGCTCGCCCACAGCCTCGTGGCCAGTGGCGGGAAGAACCGAGCTCATTTGGTTCCGGAACCCGTGACACACGCGCGTCCTGGGGACGGGCTGTGCGCTCCGATTCAGGGCTCCAGCGGGAAGGCAGGACCCAGGTTCATCTTTAGGCAGGAGCTCTGTCTCACCGTGAGCACTGCTGGGAGGGGAGGGCACTTGAGTTTAAAGAGAAATGGCAGAGACAAGATGTTCCGTGTCGACTCCTGCTAAGGGCTGCTCCCCTCATGGACGTGTGCCCTTTACTTGGCCTTTGAGTCTGCGTTCTGGGTCCCCGAGAGCACAATAATGTAAATGAAGAGCAGACCTCTCCTTGGTAATTGAGAGCAGAGAGAAGGCCATGTAAAGTCAAATTAATTTGCTCCGAAACATCCGAGACCATCTCCACGGAAGGGGCACCGGCTTTCCGGTGGGCTGGCGGGGCCTGTGACAGTAAGGTCCCTGTACGCGGAGGGCGTGCAGGGCTCGCTTCGGTCCGGGACACCTGCAGTCTGGGCCCGGAGCGGCTGTGCCTTCTGAGATTTGGTGAGGGGGTCACTGTGGCTGTGGACCATCACCGGGCTGTGGGTCTCTACCGTGTGTGAACCTGGAGGGAGGTTCTTACCCCTGCCCCCCTGACGCCCATCCTGCTGTAGGGGTCTGCATTCCCGCTGGGGGCCAGGAAGGGTGACGCTCAGTGCCCTCAGGGTTGAACACGCCCTTGGGTTGGGTTGATGGCAGACCCACGGAGGGACCTCAACCTCGAGGCCCCCTCCTTTGTTCGACAGCTCCTCCAGCTTCAGGAAGGATGGAGCACCGGGAAGACCAGGGCTGGCGGGGGCGGGGACTTTGAAAGCCCAGCCCCCCCTTCAGTGTTGCCCCCGCCCCCTGGACCCTCTGCTTTCCCATGTGTCTGCACTTCAAACAGCACAGAAAAGGTGGCACCTGGCCGAGCGTCCCTGATAACGGACCCTCTAGGCTCTCGTCCTGGAGAGAACCCAGCCAGGGCATTCACGGCGGCAGCCGCTCTAGGCGCCAGGCCCGTGGGCGACCTCGTTTGAGCCCCCAAGACGACCCCAGCCCCTACTTTTACCTGAGCCGGTCCTACTTCGGGAGGTACTTCTTCATTATGCTCTCCACGTCCCCGTCCTTCCTCCCTGTCCCTGGCTCCCTGCTGTCGGGGGACCTTTGCTCATCACCGTCACCCTCCAGCCGGGGGATTCTCGGGCGACTCTTAATGCTGTCGGCGCTTTTGAAGGACACGATGGAGCTGGAGGAGGAGGAGGAGGAGTCGGAAAGGTGAGCGGGGTCCTCTTTGGACCCCGGGCTCTTTTTCAAAATGGTCTTGATCCCTGAGAGAAAGGTCCGGTCGGCCTCCTCCGTCTCGAAGTGGACGGTTGGATGCGGCGCGCCGCCTTGCCCATCTGTGGCCGCTCCCGCCAAGGATCTGGACGTCTCGGGCTTCCGGATGGCCGGGAGGAAGTCGTCGAAGTCCACTTTGGCCTGGCGCTCGTAGTTGAGGCTTGGGGGTCTCCAGCTGAATGGGTCGCTGCCCAGAGGGTCCCCCATGAGGTGGGCAAACTGGCGATTCTGGAAGACGAGCGACTCCTTTCCGAGGTCCGGGCAGCCCCCGTCGTCCAGCGAAGATTCCAGGCAGCGCCTTCGAGGGCGCAGCGTGGGCGACAAGAGTGTGTCCCTGGGCAGGGACGGGGAGCTCGGTTTCCTCCCCAAGCCTGGCCCTGCTTCTAAGAGGGACTCGCAGGAGCCAAACCGGCTCTTCAGTTTCTCCGGGAGCAGTGGGGTGCCCTCCCCACTCTGGGAAGAGATGCATTTCAGGCTGGTGGACCTCAGGAGACCCGCTGACGCCCCAGCGGAGTCCTCCACGTCCAGGGGGGACTGTGCCCCCGACCTCAGCGAGAGGGGTCCCTCGGCACTGCCTGCCTTGGCCTTCCTCAGCGTGGACACCCCGGTGGTCTGATAGATGGGGACAGTGGGCCAGTCCTCCAGGCCCAGCGCCGACCCCGGGCCTCTCTGAGCCCTCTTCCTCCGGAGCCCTCCCACAAACTCCGACAGGGCCGCCGACGGACTCGGCAGCTTTTCCCTAGACACGGGGGAGGTGTCTGTCCTCTGAGATGGGGAAGGAGACAGAGCGCCTAGTCCCTCCCCCGGCTTTCTCTGGACGTCACACTCTTCGCCGTCCCCGAAATGGCAGTGCTTTGGCTGGCGGAGGGAAAGGGGAGACAGGGGAGAGACAGACTCGCCCCCCGTGGTCTTACAAGGGACATCCCGGGCTCTGCTCAGGGCCAACGCCCGCTGGGTCCTTGCGGCGTCGCCGGCCTCCTCGTTCGTCCTGTGCCAACAAGAAAGATGCAGTCGGTAGAAATCGTGCAATTCAGACAGTTTGTGCGAGTGGGGTGAGGGCCACTAAGCACAGGCACGGATACTATTTTTCTTTGGAAATGCCACCCTACCGCATTCTCAAATGAACCGTATGATTTAATGTGCAAATTCAAGCCATGTAAATGATTTCTTGTTGCTCTCTGAAATGCAATTTCTGTCTATAATTAAACCCAGCTCAGTACGTTGGAGTAGATTAAAACCGCAGCTAGGGCGAGTGACTTAGATTTATGAGGCGTCATATCTGACGTGACAAGCCCATCACCCCAGAGCCGACTGCGGAGTCAGTCATTTGCTTCCTGGAGACGCGGGGAGACCTGCAGGAGGTTAGTGGTTGACTCAGGGGCCAGCCCAGAGGACAGTCCCACCAGAAAGGCTTCTGAAAGGCAGTGACCCAAATATGCACCTCAGGGGGTTGCTCTGGGACACCCTGATTGTTCCATGGGTGGGGTGAGAGTTGTCCCTCTGCAAGGGAAGCATTCACATGAAATCCACATGAAACCAAGACCGAGCACAGGAGGACAGACGGCTCCTGTCCTGGACCGACACCAGGCGTGGCTTCCGTACGGCTCATTTGCAGCCGCTCAGCCAACACCACCTCCCTTCTGCAAAGGAGGAGCCCGGACTAGAACAAGGGACATCGCTCAAAGGAGAGAGGCTGGAGGCCACCAACCATTCCCTTAAGTCCTTCCTCGAAGACGAACACCACCAGCCCACCCACCAGCACAGCTCTGCTTTGGAAAAAGCAGGAGGGGTGCGGGCTGTCAGAGTCTGGGCGCGGCAGACAAAGCCGGGCGACTGCACGAGGCTGGGAGCGGCGTGTGTACGGGCTTCCGGTCAGTGTCCCACTCTCCGCATTGCCATTCTGGCTGTGACAACAGGAGACAGACCTCCACAGAAGGGTGGTTGGGGTCTGGTGGAGAGCGTCAGGGGGGATTCTGGCTCACCGCGGTTTGAGAGCATCCTTCCCACAGCACAGGGCAATAACACAGAGGCGTGGAGTCTGGGAAGGAGGCCAAGCCAATGGCCCCTGGAGGTGATGCCCAGAGGGGAAAGGAGGTGCACACAGGGCCGGGGATCGGGTCTTTTCCAGGGGTGTGGGTGGAGACCTAGTCACTGCCTCCTGAGCCCCCGAGGCCAGAGCTTCCTCCATCCCACACAGCTCAGTCCTGGGGCTGGCCGGATCGGTTGCCATGGCACTGATGCTCTGATAAAGGTTCCATGAGTGACAGCACAGGGCTGGGGCTGCTTATCTGCCTCCTCTCACTCCTGAGGTCAGCTGGCTGGAGGGTCAGCGGGTCAGTGTCACGGTGCAGGGGGGATGGGGGGACACAAGGTCGAGGTCACGGTGTAGGGGGGCTGCCTCTGTCACCCACTGCCTTCACCATCCTCAGTCCTCCTCCTGCGGGACCGAGTCCCTGCTCTCTCACCGACTCCCTCTGACTCACCTGCTCCCGCCGCACCGGTGCCCCGCTGCGCTCCCGTCTGTCCGAGCTCCCCCCCACTGCCCGCAGCGTCACGGGGAATCCGAGAAGGAAAGGGGAGCCCAGGGCGCAGCGCCTGCCCCCTCGCTCCTCAAATAATGGTGGCGTCGTGATGAATAACTGATACTCAGTCATTAATGGCTCTTCGTAATGAATAGTTAATGGCGATCACTACGACTGCTAATAATCTCTGGATCGCCCGAGCCTAGCCGACCACCGGACTGAGCGGGAGCCTCAGCCGAGGTTCCCAGAGGGTCGCGCGGAGAACCGATGGGCAGGTGGCCTCCCGTCTCCTCAGTCCTAAGAAGGGGCCCCGTGTGCTAAAACGAAGGCCACGGGTTTGGCCGGAGCAGCCGCCTCCTGTCCCTGCTCCAGATGGCTGCCAGCCCCCATCGCCGGCACAGCCGGACCCGGGCCGGGAGAGGCGCTGAAGGTCCCTTTAGGATCACCCAAAAGTGTGTTTGTCAACATCACTGCTTGGAAATGGCTCCCCTAACACATCACAAGATGGCCCGCTCACTCCTTTCTCTCTTTTTCTAATAAACAGCTTGGTGCTGCCGGGGCAGTGGCCTGCCGCAGAGCTGACAGGTCGTTGCTGTCCTGCCTGGGCCCGAGGGAGCCGGGAGAGACGGATGTGTCCTGAGTGCCCAGTCTCATCCATCGCCTGCCACGTGGGGATGGTGGCACCAAGAGCTCCTGTCCCAGAATCACCTGGGACTCTCCCATCCTGCTCACCCCAGCTCCCATCTCCAGCGCGGGCTGTGATGTCAAGACAGTGATGAAGGAAGGGAAGGAAGAGAAGTTACCAGAGGAGGAGGAGGGACAGACGGAGGAGGAGCAGGAGGAGGAGCAGGAGGAGGAGTAGGAGGAGGAGCAGGAGGAGGGACAGGAGGAGGAGAGGAGGAGGGACAGGAGGAGGAGGAGGGGCAGGAGGAGCAGGAGGAGGGGCAGGAGGAGGAGGGACAGGAGGAGGAGGAGGAGGAGCAGGAGGAGGAGGAGGAGCAGGAGGAGGAGGGACAAGAGGAGGAGGAGGGGCAGGTGGAGGAGGAGGAGGAGGAATAGAGTAAGAGGGGAGGAAGTGGGGAAGTCACAGGGCTTGAGCCTGTACTGTCAAGATCTTTCAAACTTGCATTTCTGCACCCTCTGAGCTGGCACGCAGCAGATGCTCTGTAAGTGTTATCAAACTGAATCAGGTCTACCTTGGGAATCAAGTCTACGAGGAAGAGGAAGTAGGTAGGATGAGAAAAGTGGAGTAAGGGCCAAGAGAAGAGGGAAGAGGAGGAAGCAGGAGACCAGAGAAACTGAGGTGAGAAGTGATGGAGGAAAGGAGGGTCCGGTGGAGATGGAGGAGGGGAAGAAAGGGAGAGCGTGAAGGGCAAAGGCAAGGGGCACAGCGGGGCGGGTCACAGGGGGCGCAGGTTGGCAGCTGAACATCCGCCTTTCTCATCTCCAACCAAAAGGTGGGACGGGCTGGGGGCGCGCCGAGTCGTCAGCAGCCCCAGAGTGGGGTCTGGTGGCCCCAGCCTGTGAGTGCTGGTGTCCAGGACAGAGGGCACAGGCTCATTGAGCCCAAGCCCCAGGGGCCCCAGTTCTGGCGGCCTGGGGGAGGTCTGACCCCCTTCCCAGAGACCCGGCAGGGGCAACACCTCTGCAAGGTGTGCAAGCCCCAATGTCCCAGCGCAGCCACAGGCCCCTGGCTGGCTGTCACCACACTGTGATCACTGAGCTCTGCCAAGGGGCCCAAGGGTTTGACGTCTTGCGGGCAGGGAAGGCTGGGTCCCCCCTTTCGAGAGTTGTCTGGTGCCTTCACAGCCTCAGCTGGTGGGCTTGAAGCAGACACGCAGCCAGGCAGTGTGGCCTCCTGGGGGCTGGAGAGGAGAGGGTGTGGGGGCGGTGAGGAGGGAGGGAAGGTGTGGAGGGGAGCGGGGAGAAGGAGAGGAAGAAGGAAGTCTAGGCCGAGCGCTCCCTCCTGCATTTACCATTCAGAAACCCACCATCCCTGCGACACCGATTTCTACTTCCCGTCTCCATTACTACTCAGAGTTAGAAGCTCCTTGCGCCCGCTCCTTTCTGCGTGGAGACTGCAGACTTTCGCCTGAATTCAGTGTCCTCTTGCAGGCTTCAGGGTCTGAGACAGGATGGTCCCCTCCATTTCCGTCCCAGCTTTGGAGATTTCAAACACACCCTGCCGTCTTCGGCGGGGGCCTGGGAGGGCTCATTTTTTCCCAGCCGTCCTCACTGGACAGCTTGGCTCCAGTGGAACCCCCTCCACCGGCCTCGCGTGATGGATGGCTGGCGGGTAATCTAGATGTCAGCGCACCTGCCTCCCGAGCCTTGGCCAAGGGGAGGGATGATGGATAGAAGGCTGTCTGAGTCGCTGGGAGACAGGTGTGGACAAATGCCAGGCGGGGCACTGTGATTCTCTAAGGAGAGACTCCAGAAACATCTTGGGAACTTCTGCTGCCCACCCTTTAGTCTATCCAAAGTGGACGAGCTTCTAGCATACCTGCAACAACAGGGAGCCTGCAGGCACCCGGAGATCCCGCCACAGTGGTGCCAGAGTGGTCCATACTGGAGTGCAGGGGGTGGTCAATGGCCGTCACAACAGCCACCCTGGCTGTGTGCCAGCACTGTGCTGGGGCCATGGACACAAGGGGGAATGAGCTGATGAGCCTCCCACCCTCTAGGAGTGGACTGCCATCTTCGCTAACAGTCTTCACGGCAATCCTGGAGGTAGGGGTTATGACCTTGAGGCACGGTGAGGCAGGTGACCTCCCCAAGCACATGGGTGGAAGTGACAAAGGCAGGTCCCAGCCCCAGGTTAGCTGACCCCACGACCAGCAGCACTGTCTCTATCAAAGCCCTATGGTGTAATTCAGGGGTAGCAGCATTTGCTTGTCCAGGTAACACGTGTCACTTGGTCCCTGTCTGCTTCTGCCACGTGCCAGCCATATGGCTTTGGGATAGTCACCTGACTTCTAACTCCTCTTGGCCTCAGTTTCCTCAGCTGTAAGACAGAGCAAACTTACCTTGCAATGTTGTGGATATTTAAACCCCAGGAGGGCAGCCTAAATGCTGGTGCCTAGAACAGTGCCCTGGCACATAGTAGGTGCTCAATTAAACATGTATTGAAAAATGACTGAATCTCAATCTGTGCACATAATAGGTTCTCAACAAACACGTGCTGAGTGAGTAAGGGAAGCGCCAGAGTATGTTTCTAGTATACGTGTTGCATGAGGGAGTGAATCTTGAGACCTCCGGCACATAGTAGGTGCTCAGTAAGTATGTGGTAGATGAATGCGTGGAGCCCCGGTGTCTGCCACTGAGTAGGTATCCAATAAATGTTTATTAACTGAATTGATGAGCAAGAGCATATATATGAAAATGTTCTAGAAGCATTTATGGCTTAAACTGGTGAAGGCTTAGCGGGTAAATCAGGACGTGAACATCCCGATACGCTGGACTTTCC